GTTACAACATGAAGTTACCCTGATCCATTTTATTCAAACATCGTCAAAGTTTAATGACAAACAATGTAACAACATTTGTTTTCTCTGTGGAATCAAATAGAAATGAGTGTTTTTTTTTCTTATTGTGGTTTAACTGCTGTGGGCCAGGGGCAACATTCTTTACTCTGCTGACGTGTTTACTGGCTCAACCTCAGACTGACCTCCCCGCAGTCCATAAACATCTCAGACATGAATATAAGCACACACTGATCCTAAGCCCCTCTTTCACAGTGGGCTTAAGACAGTTGGTTTAACAGTTGGAATGGAAGGACTTTTCCCTGACCAGATTATAGCACCTGCGTGCCCTAGAACAGCTCCAACATTTATAACAACAAAGCCTTGACGACGGAAAGCAAAGCGGTGAGATTTAAACTTGCATTTCAAAGACTCGCGCTCAGAGGGAGAAAAGAGAGTACCGGCTTGTGAATACAGAAGGAAAAGACCAGATCGAAAAAAATAGAACTCCATCCTCCGCTGGAAACGGCCTCGACCTTGATGTGAGCATGGCCGTGACATCGGCTGTCGAAACATCACGATGGTTGACATGAAAAGCAGGAGAGCAGAAGCATATGTGGGCTTTCTTTAACACAATGCGCGGCATGTTATTATTGTTTTTTTTTTCCTGTCTACAACCTTGATGGTCGAACATCATTCCAAACCGGTTCCTATTCCATGCATAGTTAACTGATCATACTGTGGTGTTCTTAAAGAAGGGAGGGGACACACATGCTGACTTTTAACATCTTAACCGTTTTTTTTCAATGTCAGACCTCACACAATAAGGAAAAAAATGGTGTTCTTACTTTAGTGTGTAGTGTACGCATGATGACCACACAAGAACACTAAGCACCTACTGATAATCTCCGACAACTGCGAGTGACCACCCCTGAAAGATGGCCATTGCAGTACCAATACTAACCTAAAGGTGGCAGTGTGGTGCCACAGGGCATTCAGATTTCTTGAAAAAAAAGAAAGAAGAAAAAACACATGATTACATCACTGCGGTTGCAAAAACTGTACTATTTGTCATTTTATTGTAAATGACTTTGGAAATAAGAGAGACAAACAGAAAATAATAAAGTGCTCCTCTCTTTGATTTGATCAGAATATTGAACAGGTTCAACATTCACGACTGTTGCCCCTGACCATATTCCAAACATATCGGGGAGGAAAAATCACTCATCAAGCACCCCAGGCCTTTTCCAACTTTGATATCTGTATTTGTGGACCTAACATTATATTTTGAAGGCCTTATTTAGCTACCTTCGAGGAGCAAACAATTTTAGCAAATATCTACAATCAGTTCTACAGCACAGCAGACTACAACCACACTAATAATAATTGTCCTATGGATTACCTTCCATCTTTTGTAAACACAGATTTTTTTTTGATGCATGATCTAGTTAATTAAGTGTCTGTTGTGTGTGTTTTCCTAAACTCTCCTCCTTTTCTCTGACTTCCTCAGTGAGGTTCTGCAAAGGTCAGAGCTGAACTGCTCTCCCCTACTGAGGTGATGGAGAAATCAGGCGAGAGCAGTGTTTGAACAGCCTCTTGTGGTTTTAGAGAGATTGCACATCACCGCTGAGCCGACATCCAATCAGCCCGTCCGACTCTGAGATTGTTTTTCACAGAGGCGTTGTTGCTTTAGTGATCCGTAAAGGTGAGGTGAAGCTTTCCCAGCCTCGAGCCGCACACCACACACAAATCAGCCTATGATTACAAAATGCAACACATTTATTTACGCGGTCCAACAATCTAAAGGTTAGCAGAGGTTTGGTGGAAAACTTTGTCTTGCAGAAAAAGCCCTGAAGTTACTCGCAGTATTATTAGTTATTCTTTGTGGAGGATAAAGAACATATGCCTGTGGGTATTGTTTTTGCTGTCTACATAAATACCGTAATTTCCGGACTATAAGCCACTACTTTTTTCACACGCTTTCAACCCTGTGGCTTATTTAACGATGCGGCCTATTTAAAGATTTTTCCAACGGCCGCCAGGGAGCGCTCCAGCAGAAAACATTGAGATGCTATCATATGTCACAGTGAAAACAACCGGCTATGAGAGGGCGCACTTCACCTGTGTTTTGAGCTGGACTGCAATCAGAAAGCTGTGTGGCTGGGTCCCTGACAGACTTGACCGAAAAAAAAAAAAATTTATGAAGGCTTTATTCCCGACTGAACATAGAAAATGTACAACATTAATAAAATACTGAGGTATGTCAAATGGGACTAACAAATAGAAATGTATACAAAAATAGACAACAGCCATGGCTGGTGTGCACTTTCCGGCATGTTGTATGTGCCCAAAACACGTGGAAAACAACTAATCTCCCTTGCTTCACGGCTGTTCACACGACCCACCGTGCGACACCGTTCAAACTCCCAAACGACGATATTTTACTCTTAATATCAGCCGGATTACAATGCCGATTGCAGATACATCAGGTCTGAATAAGCACAGCTCAACGTTCGTCTCACTTCACTTCCTGGTCCAAGTCTCATGAAATTTCCTACGAGATTATCCTTTCTTTGCAAATATCTCATGTTACAATATGGGCACCTGCGGCTTATAGACAAGTGCGGCTTATGTGTGTACAAAATAGTTTTTCCTTTAAAAATGTAGTGGGTGCAGTTTATAATCAGGTGCGCTCCATAGTCAGGAAATTATGGTAGAAATATCTGTTGTTTAGAACACCACTATTTATTCATCTATGGTGATTCGCATTGTTTGTTCGCATTAAGCTAAACAGAAAACATTACTGCTACAGTTTGAAATTTAGTGCATACCTAATGTTGTGCCCACTCTCATGTGTAGATATGGGAAGATATGAAGCATGTCTTCAATGCTGTGAATTCTGCAACTTTCCCCATGACCGTCTTGGCTTCCTGTATATTTGCCCCAAATTATTCCACTCTGCTGAAGCAGAGCCAATTTCCTTCACACCCTTCTGTGTTGCTTTGAAATCTCATTTTCTCTGTTTCATTTTTGATTTGAATATGTTTTGCGACTTTTCCCAGACCGAAGGCAGTACCATCCTGCTTGTGTTCTTTCTTCCGTACAGACAGAGGACAACATGTGGCTTTTGACAACTCCATCAGCACAGCCCTGCCACTACGTATTGTGCTTGATTAACCTCAAATAAAGTTCAGATGTTTTAGACGTAAAGTGACTTTTTTTTTTTTTTTTTTAGCAAAAGCATGCCAGCACTGATTGGTATTTGGAACTTTTCATTCCTCCACCCACCTTGACTAATGTAACTGTTCTACCTGAGCAAAACATGATCCTGCCACCACCATTCTTCATTTAGGTATGGTGTTCTTTTGGTGTCAAGTAATGTTGTGCTTGTGCCAAACATAACTTTTAGAATTATGGCCAAAAGCTCAACCACTAAAAAAAATATCCCAAATATATGTGGGAAAATGTGTTGGGTCTGACAGGCTTCTGCGAAAAAGCAAAACATAAAAAAATAAATAAATAAATAAAGAAATTTTAAAAAATGTCAGGAAAAGCCGAATACAACAGCTGAACTTTATTTCTGATTACAGTACTCATGTGTACTTTGCATAGTGGCATGGCAGGTGTTTGCTGACTCGAACATGAGCTTGCAATTAAACGGTTAATTCTGAGCACAGCTACATTCCAGTTATGAGAGTGTTTGCTCATTTATGCAATCACATTAGTTCCGTTTTTTTTATTACCTGTTTCAGAAAGATTATAGAAAGGGTTGTCGGTCTCAATAATGGTGGAAAAAGTTTGCTTAAATCACGAATTTTGGTCGATTTTTTATATCAGCAAAAAATGGCATTTGAACAGACGGGTGTAGACGTTTTCTTTTCTACTGTACATATTTTTTGAGGGCTCCAGCACACCCGCGACCCTCGTGAGCATAAGCGGATTTGAATGTGGATGGATGGATGGATGGATGGATGGATGTTTTTAGAGGTGTGGATATTGGCCTTGGTTTAATTCATCCAACAATAAACCAAAATAATCTGCTTGTCTGCTAAATTCGAAGAACACTTCAGAATATTAAAGTATATATTTGTACATGTATGTCCCAAGGACTGAACTCCAAAGCTGAAATTTATGGAACATGCTGTTAACATACATGTGTATAATTTACAGTGGCGGTCTCCCTGAATGACAAACACAACCATTGTAGTGCAGTCCACGACCCTTGAAATGGATCACCTCAAGTGGCCCACATCTCATTAAGCCGCTTGCCTTAGTTAAGCGTATTGCAAACAACAACCTCCGCTCATCCCGTCTCATCTTCTGTGTTCATCACTCTGGCCTGGCGAGCCACTTTTTCCACGCGCAATAATAATACATCAGGTACGAACAAACGGTCCAAACACACAAACTGCACTGTCGTGGTTGTAAAGCACGCCTGCACGCTGCCTGGGAACGGAAATGGGTTCTAAATATTGCACCAGCGCTTTTCTAATGAGCTTGAGGTGGAGTGCAACACATCTGTCATCTCACAGAGCCACCATGCAAAGGTCAAGGGGATTTTTCAAAGTAAACAGTGTGCCGAGTATTCTGTTTCCCGCCCGGCCGCCACTGATTGAAGCAGTTGGGTGTCTGCTAAGATGACTGATGGCGCTGGAAACGTTTTGGGAATACGCCATTAACTCCTTATGTGCGGTGGAGGAAAATAGTTTTGAAGAATGGCCTCATTAGTGAACCATATGGGCTGGACTTGATGTCTGCTGTAGACATCTAGTGGCCAACTGTGTTAACTGCCTCCTGTTGCTGCATGTACTTTCATGCTGTTTAGAGTAACGCACAGTACAGTGAACCCCCGTTTTTCGCAGGGAATTTGTCCCAGACCTACTCGCAGTAGGTGAATATCGGGTGGGTATTTAAAAAAGGCACGCATCGTAGTGTCTCGTGGGGTTCAAAAAATGGCTTAAAAATACTGTATATATGTAGCAGGGGAACACTACTGACAACACAAGTTGGTTGAAACCACCATTTTATTTGGCATAATTTAAAATCATCTCACTGTTAGTTCATTTATACAAATATGCTTTGTTATATATAAAACAATTACAGATCTCTACAAATCAAGTTCCCAGTGTAAAAGCGTAGTACCACACGCATGGTAGCATACAGCTCTGGGACACAGACAACAGAGGGCCCACAGGTGTATGTTCCACTTCCATCATATTTGAATGAAATCAGGACATCCGGATAAAGGGGAATACAAAATATTTTTTAAAAAAGCCTACCACAGTTTGTCTAATTGAGCACGTACATTCAACACATTTTTACTAAAATCAGCCCTTTTGCTGTTACTGCGCTTAGGTTGTTATAGGGCGCAATAAAACAATGTATTACATTTAATTCCACAGTCTGAACAAATATTTATTGACGCTAAAAGAAAGCAACCGCTTATTTGCAACAACAAAAATCTTAAAACCGACAAGGCACCTACCACCAGTGCAGTTATTGCTGCACCATGCCGACCAATGCACGAATATAAACCGCATTGAGTTAAAAAATAAAAAAAAGTGTGGCTGTGGTGCACTGAGATGTCACTTCCGCAGCTGTTTTATAGAGTTGCTGCAGCGTGCTTACTGGCAGGAAGAAGGTAAGGCTTCAATGACCAAATATGAAAGTCATTGCTTGGTTGGAGCTCCGTGGGACTAAAATGACAAACTTTGACAAAGGAGCACCAACGTGGCTTTTGGTTTGGATAAGGCAACGTGACCGCACAAAAGCTCCTGTAATCAATCAATGACAGTTTGGATGCTGCAACATGGTGGGAAAGCACACACCAAAGCAGCAATAGCCCTTTTCCAGGAATAAAATGGTCTTAAGATAAGAATGACAAATGCAATGCTGAAAACCTCCAGTGGAACCTGCAAAGTCAAACAGCCCGAAAGCAGGAAATGTGAAATGAGTCGCAAAAAATGGCAAGGAGAGGTGAAATGTGATAATAATCAAAACCAGAAAACCAACTTTTGGAAACGGTCTCTGCTTTAACAGCGTGAGAAATCAATCTCAACAGCACCTTTTCAAACATGAACAGCATGTGCTGAAAAACTGACGGTGAAAGACGAGCACGAAACTCGCATGAGGCAATTCCTCTCCATTACCTATATGTCAGGGATCTATCACGGGCAAGTCGTTTATGACCAGCAGCAATTAGGGATATTTGATGCCACAAACCAAAACTAGTACGAGAATTCTTAATTACCTTTGGTACTTTTGACATATAACATTTCATTTGAGGTATTTCTTTTCGATGAAGATGATTAAGTAACGTGTCAAACCAGCAGGGTATCGCACCAACTACTGCTGAGGAGGCCTTAATGTCAGATTTTGTTTTGCCTTAGGTATCAATGGATGGTATCTGCGATCTCCACGAGTGCTCCATACCTAAAAATAAGACCAATATGAGCCTGATACCGATAGAACAGGTACTTGCCCATCCCTAGCAGGAATGCTACAATGTTACATGAAACAATTCCTGTACAGTTGATTAAGGTTTACAGACAGTCACAGCTTGACTCTGGAACAAATTACAGTATTTCAACTTACATTAGTTCCAATGGGAGAAAATTGTTTTGAAATTGGTACAACATTGTCACAAAAACACAATTGTTCCACATTGCAGGTTCCACCGTATTCTGTTTGGATACGTTATGCCGTAGTCGTGTGCTCGCATTTTATGCAAGGCGGCAACATCACTGACATCACGATGCAAGTGTGCTTTTAAACACCTTTAGGATCCAATAAACACAGGTGATTACAAAAATATATATATATATTCAACTTTGGCCACTTAGGTTAAAAACACTTGAGAAGGAAATTCAACATGATCAGAAAATAGCGTTTCCATGATTTTGATTTGGGATGGGCATTAAGAATTCCATTCAATTGCAAATGGGGCAAAATGGAGTGTGCTACTTGGCTGCAACAAGCAGCGGCTCTGTTGCTTCCAAAAGAACAAATGCCATAGACTATGTGAAGCTTGCTAGCTACATCTGCGCTTGGCCAACAACTCCCAACGCTGCCAATGAAACAGGAGTTCAGAACATTCTGAGAAAACTGATCAAGGAAATGTAGTCAAAGGCCCGACTAATTCCAAGTGGTTATTCTTAGGCACGTTTCTGAAGAAGAAAAGGGCTGTGCTATGACCCGACGTCCTCTTCCGTCAGGCTGTTTAACAACTCCAAGACCGATTTGGCTTAATTTGTCTCTCAAGCCACCTGTTTAGTTGATTTTGAATGGGTGGGGCTCATCTTACAAAGGTGATTCTCCTCTGCCACATTGCAGGCGACGGGGTCGATACAGTACTACCAACATGCTACACTGAGCACATTGGCGCCTACTGGTGCTGCCAGGAACTGGCCCTTGTCTGGGATTCATCCAGCCCTCTTTTGGACTCAAGATGCTTGAATTGAAGGAGGAAAAAAAAAAAAGCTGCTCAGCCTCTACATGACAACTAAATAATAGCCGGGGTCACAATAGAGTTGCTTGAGACTCGCGAGACGCAACCTAAGTTTGGAGTATGAGGTAGTCACTAGTTCTCCCCCGAAAGAACAGTAGATCTCTTCTCTCCATTCAAACAGGGCAGCTTGGTTTAGATGGAATTATGGCTTGTGACAACTACGACCAGAATTTGCTTATAAAGGCAAAGCGGGGATGCTATAAATCTAGAACAAGTGTAACATGTGAAGAATGGGTAAATATCAAAATTTTAAAAGTAAGAAAATACAAGATCTACTTTTTTGCCACCGTTTTGTCAAAGTCACTTTGGTGATGATGGTGTCGTAAAGATGAAGCCCTCCTGAGGATGAAGAAGGAGCTGAGAAATAAGTCTTCAACCTGCTCAAGGAGGCGTTGGAAGCAGCCATCGTTCGCATCTGTGGATCTCCACAATCCAAATCCGGGAAGCGCTATTACAAAAGCACGCATTTCTTGGTGTTCTTTTTCATGACGGGGTACAAAACTGCTCTCACGGCCTCGGCGAACACCTCCCTGACGCCTTCCTGCAGCAGCGCAGAACACTCCATGTACTTGACGGCCCCGATTTGCTTGGCGAGGGCGTTTCCCTGCTGCTGGGTGGTGGGAGCCAAACCTTGTTCCTTCAGCTTCTTCACCGTTTCCGCATCACCCCTCAGGTCTCTCTTGGTGCCCACCAGCAGGATCGGCACGTTGGGGCAATGGTGAGACACCTCAGGGTGCCACTTGTGCCTGACATTTGCATGGGAGGAGGGGCTGCCGATGGAGAAGCAGATGATGAAGACGTTGGTCTGGGGGTAGGAAAGAGTACGCAGGCGGTCGTACTCCTCCTGGCCGGCCGTGTCCCACAAGTTAAGGCTAACGGTGCGACCATCCACGCTCATCTGGGCGCTATAGTTGTCAAACACCGTTGGAATGTATTCTTCAGGGAAGGCATTGGTGGTGTAGGAGATGAGAAGGCATGTTTTCCCGACTGCCCCATCGCCAACCACCACACATTTTATGGTCTGCATCCTGCCAACGACCACTTGGGCTGCAGCACCTAGAGGCAAATGAGGGTACTTGGGTGAGCCAAACATTTTCAGTTTATTTCACTAAACACTACTCAAAAAACCTACATTAGACAGCTGAAAACTCCCGCAAATTAGTCACGCATTAATGACCCATATAACAAACTTGCTAGCCAAGGCTAGATTTGCTAAACGTCGTACTTTGGGTAGAGCAGTGAAATTTGAGGGCAGGTTGGCGCATTCAGCAAATACCAACGTAGGAAGAAAGGGACATTCAGGGAAGTGAAAGGCACTGAAGCGAAAGACAAACTGTGAGCTTGTGATTATTATCGGTCGTGGATCTCTTCAAGTACGAGTTAGGCGTTCCCCACTGGCGGATAGCATCCGGCTAAGGAACTAGCGCATATGATAGCAGGCAAGCTAGCCACTTAGCAAACAACTTGATGAATTTATAACACACTACTGCGCCAAAACATCTTTTTATAATCCGACAAAGCCCGAGCGGGTCTAAGATAATATTTTCCACATCCTAATACTGAGTTTAAACGTTCTTATGGGTTTAGGCGATGACATTTTAAAGACTTTGTCACTTACCGCCACTTAGCTAGCAATCTCTTCTGCTTGGTTTAGTCAGTCACAGCCGCATCCGGGGAGCTGCCCAAGACGTAATAAGTGACGCAATGGAAAGATGCAAACTGGGAAACGTAGTTTTTAATTTTTAGATTGTCGTTTTACTTGACACTAGATGGTAGTGTTGTCGATTCCAAAGCTGGAGAAGAGCTGGCCTTTTCAGTTTGGGCGGTAGAAAAAAGTTACCGTCACAACTGCAGTTCTCTAGTTGAGCAAAAACGATCGTCGCTTAATTAATCACTGGAACATTTTTCAGCAGGATAAAATATGATAAGGAATACATATTGATCGTTCGAGTGGTTAGAACTGGGGTCACCAAACGTTAAGAAAGTACTTCTTGGGTATACATACGGAGCCCCAAAACAGACACAGCAAAATAATGATAATAATAATAATAATAATAATAATAATAATAATAATAATAATAATAATAATTATTATTATGATTATAAGTTCCGTGTGGAGTTTGCATGTTCTCCCCGGGTCTGGGTGGGTTTTCTCCAAGTACTCCGGTTTCCTCCCACATTCCAAAAACATGCATGGCAAGCTGGTTGAACAATCTAAATTGTCCCTAGGTATGAGTGTGAGTGTGGCAACCGGTTCAGGGTGTCCTCCGTCTACTGCCTGAAGACAGCTGAGATAGGCTCCAGCACCCCCCGCAGCATTTGTGAGGATAAGCGGATCGAAAAATGGATGGATGGATACTTCTGGGATTGTATATATGTATTTCTTTCTGTAAATTTTGGTTAATTGAATTATTTGAAGTCACTAATGCTGTCGTGGTACATTCATCTAACCCAGTGTTTTTCGAACTTTTTTGAGCCAAGGCACACTTCTTTCATTGAAAAAAATCTCGCGGCACACCACCAGCTGAAAATGTGAACCCCCCCCCCGCTTATTTTAACAATTAACGTGTTATATTGTTACGATAACCGTTTTTAACATTGAAGAATGACGTTATAACAGCTTGAATTGGAATCAAATGAACACAAAGAAAAAAGTATTTTATCATCTTTCATATTTATTGTTTCATCTTCATCCTGCATTCATGCGTCACAAATTTGCTTGTCTCTCATCGAAATACAAGGCAACTAGCTAGCTGTTGCTGCTCTCGAGCGGTATGGGAGGGTACTACATGATTACTTTCTGGGCGAAAGACCGCACAGGCATTCAATTTGGATATTTTCCCACGGTACACCTGACAATGTCTCGCGGCACACGGGTTGAAAAACACTGATCTAACCCATCAAATATCAAGTACAACTTTATTGTGCTGTACTGTATGTGCAATAACATAAATAAATAAAAAATCCTCGTCTCACCCCTCGGGTGGTGTCCATCCCTCATTCAGCTCGGGTCCTCTACCAGAGGCCAGGAAGCTTGAGGGTTCTGCGCAGTATCCTTGCTGTTCCCAGCACTGCACATTTCTGGACTGAGATGTCCAATGTTGTTCCCGGGATCTGTTGCAACCACTCATCTAGTTTGGGGGTCACTGCCCCGAGTGCTCCGACCACCACAGGCACGACTGTCACCTTTACCTTCCAGGCTCTCTCCAGCTCCTCTCTGAGCCCTTGGTATTTCTCGAGTTTCTCGTGTTCCTTCTTTCTGATGTTTCCATCACTTGGGACCGCTACAT